TACCTTGGTATTATTTTACGTTTTACGAATTGTTTACATTGTTTGAAAATACACACACAGGGGGCAAACGGGCAGGAGGCTCACCTGATGTGAAGTGATACCACTGCTCATGGCCACTTAGGCTCGTGGCCAAATTCTACAAACAACCAATTTAAATTGGTTAAACTTCTGTGGCTAGCTGCTTCCATATACCTTAAAAAGCGCTCAGTTGTGGAAAGACGGACGTCAAGTTAATACGGGTGGAATTTCGTATTCTGCCTCGACGATCGGTGATGTTAACTCAACTACAGGTGTTAATCAAAACGACGACTCGATCGGCCATTAAGCCGTTCCAATGATTTTTTTCTGACGTGCTAGAATGCCAAAACAGTAGTATGCTCACTGAAACGCCCACGTTTATTTTGATTTGTTTACGTTTATGTAACATTCTCAAGAATGCTCTTTACATACCTACTCATTACAATGCTCAACTTTGTCATAGTTTGTGATAAAAAAACATAGGATTTATAGTGAAAAATATTACAAGTTTATTAATGAAAACAGACAACCCCATTTGTTGATTAACCTAACATAACGTATTAAAATTAATAATTCAGTCAGTACATTATATGTCACGTAAATCAACGTATGTCAGACTGTTCACTTAATGCGCAATAAAGTCATATGTCATTTTTACCGGCGTGGGAACTTGCGATTTAATTCCTTGGACATCTTTGGTATAAAAAGCTAAATCTGTAAAATTTCGGGATATTGTATAATACTCAATGGGATTAACAAAATTAAAATAGTTTAACAGCAATAAATGTAAATATCTCATGTTATATGTATGTAATTAGAATTTGTTTTATTTTTTAAATAATTTCCTTTTTTTAAATGTGAATATTTTTGTTTTATTTAGTGTGTACTATGTATAGCTATCACTCCAAAATAGTATGGGTCCACTGAAAATCAGTGTAGCCGGTGACAGCAACTTAAAGCTGAGTTGACATCATTTTTCATTAAAGTGATGTTAGAATTTTTTTTGTGTTTGCTTTAATCAAATAAATGTTTTATTCTTTCTTTATTCAAATAAACAATTTAATATAATTTATGTTTTTTCTACATCGTAATAATAATTAAAATCGTAGAGAATATGTTATAAGTTAATCAAATTGTCTCCACAAACAATACAATTGGTCACATCTGAAGTGCTTAAATAAATAGTAATATTTATCTGTATTTTGGCCTAAATTATAGACTAGACTCGTATATTGTGAAATCAATAATTGCTTGGAATGGCTGGGCCTTGAAATGTCGAATAGCCACTTATGTATTAACTACTTTATAATATAACCAGTTGGTCACGCATAGGGTTAATCAATGTGATTAGTTTGGAAGTCCATGGTCCGAAGCCCGAGGAAATGTAAAAAGGAATGTTTCGTGTCGAGATTATGGTAGTCGATTTCTATGCCTTTGAGTCAACTCAACGGATTTAATACAATTAATTCACGAGTATCAATTTCCAACGTTCTTCGGTTCTAAACAAAATATTGAATGTTTGAAAAACAGCAATGTTAATAATATTTAATATAACAATTAAAACGGAATATAATAAATATTTAATCTAATGCTGCGTACGATTTTAAAATTGATGGCGTGTTTCCTTTTACCTTACGTTATTGAAGTGTATTATTACGACCGTCTTTTGCATTAGGGACTGTATACATCTATTATTTAATACAATACGTGTGTATCATATAACGATTCTACAATAATATCAAGTAGTATTTGCACTGCTGCACTTTATATCTAACACTACTTTATTAAATAAAATACCATATTCTCTATTAAAGGTAACAAATATATTTCTTTATTATCAGTGAATTTTTTGCCGTAGCGTAGCTGGAAGTTCTGAGATAACGCAACTATGTAACCGCTTCGCTAAACATAATTTCAAGGTTTTACAGAGTTTTACAGAGCATATACATGATTCTATTAAAATATTAGGTAATATTTATATTTAGGGCTAAATAGTATTCCCCTTGTACGTAGTGTTATTGGACACGTCCTTATCTTAAGTATCCAGTAAATTAGGTAAGTTTTAAATTACTTATAAGTAGGTATAGGCTAGATCGTAATGTTAAATGATATCTTTGTGCAGAGACAATTTATAAAAAATAAATGAATATTGCGAACACATACTGATCAAATTCATTATCTAAGGAGTATATCGACGTGCGCTTTGCACTCCGCATTGCTCACGGATAGATGTACGACGTCCCATTTATTGGAACAGATGAGGTCACCGGCTTATCTAAAAATCCGTTCTAATAACCTCATGTAAATTATCAGAGCTATATGAATGGATAGTTTTGGCAGCGACACAAATGCCCCGGGGTGAACGTCCGGCGATAACTCGATCTTATGCCCTCAATACGTAAGGCTATGGATTCTGGAGCATAATTTTCTTTTGATACGCGAAAACAACGTTCATAAAATCGATGGTACAGTCAAGTAGAATAGCTAAATGCTAAGTTTTGTACGATTTAATAAGAAAAGGTAAAAGTACTATCAGAAATAGAAGACGGTCATGGAATCGATGTCAATTGTTTAAAATTGTATCTAAGATTACTTAATACGAAGTGAATATATATACATTAAGCATTTTGCATATATAATAAGATCTTATAAAAATATAATTCAAGCTCATAAAAATAAATGTCTCTCAACTTTCGTGAATATGTGTTAATACTTTTACAATAAATTTTGCTTACTTTGTATAAAAAGCATATTGTACACACTTTGGGACTGTTGTGCAAACGAACAAACATACAAGTCAAAATAAATTTATTAATTTGTTATATGCCGTGCGCACGTTGTCCTAAGTTGGAAATACATGTTTTTGTAAATTGTTAAAAACAGCCGTTTTGTTTCGCATAAAAATTGCTTCATTATACGGTACAGACGCTATAAGAAGTGTTTTTTTAAAATAATAACCATGAACATGAATTGTCCAAACTATACTTCGCTTACAGATTAATGTGATAAGAGCAGAGTCCAGTAAAACGTTCCAACACCTGTGCACCAATGGCTTATGAATTATACGTGTTTAATAGACACTTTCAAAACCCTACCTGTGGTCAAAAACAGCATGCTTTAGAACCAGAAATACACACAAAATTAGAAAACAATAAGACATACCGACACAAACTTAAATTTATTCAAACACGCATTAGCAGTTCAAACAAACAAATCTACATAGAATTGTTTATATATTGTTTTTATTAGTTAGGTATATCATTAATTAGAAATACACTTTCTATGTAAGTCAAAAAATCGTATTTTCAAACAAATTATGTCGACGACTGTACATAGTACAAGCGCCAAATTAGTATGAACTTCGTTTTTCTCGAGGAGGGTTTGCAATAAAATTTTAAGTTTTATGTTGTTTTAGCAGAATCCATTGAAACATCTCTCTTTTAATAATGCTTGATAAACATTTTATATTTTTGGTCACCTTTTCAAATATTCCGACAGGGTCTTACAAAAACCAGTTCGTGAAAAATCTGTTTTTAAATTGCTTTCATATTTAATATCCAGAATGTGCTAAGTCTTATGTTAATTTTAATTTTCTCAAAGAAGTTTTCTTGGGTGAGAAATGTGCAAAGCAAACAAATGTTATGTTGTTAATTTGTCTAATTGTGCTTAAAGCGGTTAAATGAAGTTATTGAAATTGGCTGTGATACAGACCAGTTTTTTCGTTACTACAGTTGCATTAACGATAAGTTCCTGTTATTATTTTCCCAAGGTTTTCTAAATAAAACTTAATCAAAAAAACTGATTTATAATTCATGATTTAGCATACGATTTCAAAGTTCAGTTACACAATGTGTTAAATAGTAATACTGGCGTAACAATTTGATTACAAAGTAGCCGAACACAAGGTTTTGTATGAACTTACGATTTTTTAAAGCTTTCATTAGAAGTCATTAGTGCGAGCTTTAATAACGTCATAATATGATATAGCGCTTCTTCGGGTTATCAGTGCACATACATTACAGTCTTTATGACACATTAAGGAAAAAAGTATATTTTAAACACCTCAGGGTATTTAGATGATAATGAGACTTCTGCAAATTACTTTGCGAAGTTTTGCATTAAATGTTTAACTTCGGCTGGCTAAGTTGAAACTTAAAATTCCAGATTTCATACTTTAATTACGACTTGTATCCTCGTTTAAAGTCTTATTAAACTTAGGCCCAAATTTCTTAGATGTGTTCTTTAAAAAATATTTATTTATATTTCGTTATCTTACACATACATACTTAAAATCAAGTTATAAACGAATAACGTTTCAATTCGCGAAACAAAAAACGCAACAATTCATACCAGGCAAGGCAGGCAGGCATTCTTCATTAGTATGGAAAAATAAAAAAGAAATACCTACTAAGGATAAAGTACAAGAAGTGCATTAAAAATTGACAAAAAACAATCTAATATTCTGATATTCTAATAGTGTAGTTGAACATGTTATATTAATATTTTTTCTAAATTGTCCTTTGTTAAGAAGAATTTGATAGAATCAAATCTAAGTATGATTCCCATATTTTTTGTTCGCTTACGTTCAGGTTTCGGTCAGAACAGATAGTTTTCGACGAACGTAACAGTCGCTTACCAAATATAGCTTAGCAATACTATGTCAGGATATTTGAAAAAAAAAGAAAACAAGATAAGAGATAGGAGTTAGATTATAGGGTATTGTACATACATTGTGGTGGTAAGTAGCCTGAATGTTCAAAGTTTGCAAGCAATTTTTTGTATCAGGCTTAAACTTTTTTTTTAAATAAGATCTGTCACAGTACAATTGTATAAATTCATTATTCATTACAAGTATAGTGCGCTCAACGTACTCGCTCATGTACGTCATTTAAAAATTGAAAAAACATATCAGCATTATTGTCCCCTTAGATAATTTAATCACACTGTGTTGATCAACTACATTATTATAATAATTAACGACTCTAATAAAGGAACATACCATGTTTCAATCCATACCACGTCTTGTGGAATGGCTGATACCGCCTGGTGGTAGGATTTGGTCGCGGTCGCCTCTGCGGGGCGCAAGACGCCGCACAGCATAGCAAATAGAACCTTTTGTCGCGGACTTTTTCAGCGGCCTTCAGCCTCTCTCGGGCGAGTCGGCCCGCACATCTGCGAGGCCCAGTGGTTTCTACAACCACTGCGACAGCCGCTAATATGAATAACCACCGCATCATGAGCACATCACGAACACAACACTATCTTAACATTGTTAGATTTTCATTGTCTAAGCATGTTTTCTATTTTTGCTATTATTATACCTGTCAAAATAAATACGATCAGTGTTTTTCGTACGTTGTTTGTGTACGTTGGTATACACGTGCGTTCACGCTAGACACGGCGCGCGAACTGCACAGATTGAAGCCGCCTTGAATCTCGAAGCTAAACGCATAACTTTTTACGGAACCCAATTGAGGATTTTATTAAGTGTCAAACTCGTTTGTCTTACTACAGTTATACTAATTGGAGCGGTCAGTCGCGAATACCATTGATAACTGCAACGGTATCGCAAATTATAGTATTGCAGATTTTGTGAACTTTGTTAACAATTTATCATGACTACGGGCTTTTAATACATTTTGTATGTGTTTCTACATTATATTTCAATAGATTGTCTATAACGATAAAACTGCTACTTATTTTAAAACAGTTTAATATTGAGAAGGTAGATTGAAAAAATTTGATGAGGTCTTTGTCCAAGGATAAGCTGTAAATAAATAACCGTTTGCCGATAGATATTAAATATAGATAGGAACTAAATATAATATTTCTTTAGGCCTATTTACTTTATATTTAGCATGAAACATAAACATCTTAAATTTTTCTAGCCCTATGAAAACCAAATTATGTAATTATATAAAATTCTGAATATTTATTAAAAAGAACTTATCATAATATGGACAAATCAGACTTTAATTATGTGTTATTGTCTCATACATGCCGTTCCAGGCAAACGTCATCAAAGTCTTATCAACTTAAAAAACAATTTAATTCTTTACAACAATAAATGCTAGAATCCTTGTGCAGTTTCCATCAGCAGTCTAATGAAGCCGGTATCATGAGACTGATAAACCGTGGCGGGTGGTCACCTGACTCGCTGCTGATAAATTGCTAATACTTCAGATTAAGCTGTATACAGCTTATCTTTGGGTCATAAAGTATGATTTGTGAGTTGGGTAATAATTATTAATTAAAATAAATTCTATTCCTAGCGATCGAATTCATCGGACTATTACAGCCAATAGCAAAGTCAGGTAAGATAGAATCTATCTACGCACAAGAAATATTATTTTTTACTACACATATATTTAAAAAAAATAGCTCACCCACGTAAAGTGTAACCGTATATTTAAATATACAAAAATGTAATTCGATCCTCGGACAATGAGATCAGTGGCCGTAAAAACGTATGTAACACTCATTACACGTCAGTAACCTGATACTACATGTCATGGTGTTTTCATTTGTTTGTTTAAATAGTATCTATATCATAAAAAGTAGGGTTACTCTGTAATCAGTGGTGGGTAACAACCTTGCTCTGCCTTGTGTTACCCAAATACAGTGACCCTCGTCAGTCGTAAGGAATGCAGTAATGAAACAGCAATGAGAGAGGGAGGCGCTCTAGGACAAATGTGAGTCTGGGCAGGGGATGCGCAAATGCATTTCTACCTCAGATATTTAAAAAGGGCTACTCTATAAAGCATATGCTGATTTCCAATAATTAGCTGGAATTGGCACTCTCTTACAATAATTTCAAGTATATAAAATAAGATGTAGCCACTTTACAATAGAAATATACTACTTCCTCATTCTCGTATGCTCTTCCAAATATGTCATAAGGCACATGACATATAACAAAAGTATTATCTATTTTCTACATTATCATTCATTAGATATATTATATATTGTCTAATTCTACGTGACTAGGCTATTTAGCTTTAACGAAACCGTTCCTTTAACCTACATAGCAATCCTTGACATGCTCGGCGCGTATTGAAATAGACTATTAGCAATAAATTCTTCATCATTAAACGAATTAGATGTATGGTCATTAAAGATCCAACATAGTTAGCGTTAGTAGGGTAACATAAATATGTATCACGGTTTAACAGTTGCTATATCGAAAATAATAGGGTTTTTACGGGACAGAAAGGATGTCAAATGAGCCTTGTACGATCACCTTAGTTGTAGTTAGTATTTATAAGAATGGGTACAGAATCGAGCGTTTTTAAATAAAAGTATCGTAATTAATGTGGCAAAATTTATAACTTATTCTTGTAAATAATGCGATTATGAACAAGACAGTCTAATTAAGGTAATAATTATTAATATCTAAGTAGGTAAGTCTACCAATTATAATGTCCGCAAAGAAGGAACAATAAATAAATAAAATAATCTCTGAAATATATGATAAAGATGGCATCTTAACAAATGAACATACAAACACACTTTATATTTTAGAATACCATGCTAGTTCATTAGATATCTAATTAGGCCCTATAACGGTTGCTATAAAAGATTTATCAAGGAGCGATACTAATAAGAGCATAAATCCGGGCTATCGAATAATAGCTCGCGGCGTCTGCTTCGACGTACCAGACTTGCAGGCTCCACCTAGCTTTGATAACAGGTTTTGTGTTTTGCTATTTCTAGGATTTTTTTAAAATTCCCGTTTGCAATGCTAAAAATATATGATACTTTGTACGATTTAAAATTGCATCATCATCATATTATTTGTTTAAATCTAGAAAATATAACTGACGCTTCTTTACATGGTTTTAAAATATATTTAAAATACTAAATGTTTAAAGAATACGTAAATTCAGTTAACTTTAGTTTTGTACAGTTTGTCCGAATTTTTAATAAACTGCTTAAATCAAATTTTCATTTCGAAAAGTTTTCATTTACAATTGAAAAATACCAAACACGGAAATGTGGTTATTCTTACATAAATTTGTAAGCAGACATAAAGCATATCAAGTCGATAAATTAATTCTTTCTATACACATGTTGACATGTTTATTAGGACAGGATAACTTACTGTAAATATCTACTTAAGGTCCAAAGACAAGACGATTATAATTTGATTAGTACATTATTTATGTCCGTTTTATTAGAATTTTGAACAGTGAGCCCGATAGTGACTGACTGCCTTTGCTACTATGAAAGTAAACTACTAGGGTTCACCCGGTTCAGTTGTGTTTTTTACCTTTTTCTATTATCTTCAGTATATTTTCTTTCTTGGGAAGAATATGATAGGGTCAAAGACAAGTAACGAAATGCTAATGCTATATATTTCTAGAATAAAATGTTTATTAAAATCAGTGATCAATAAATAACTGTGCCTATACCAACGTTATGTAAACGTGAATTTATTTAGCTTGGTGATATAAGGTCATTTATAGAAATAGCTAAAATGTAGCTAACTGTAGCGTATATATAAAAACAAGTGCTCTGGGGAATAGTTAATGTTCCCTGGTACATTCACAATGACGACTTCTATCGGGACCTCAATGTTGAGGACGTCGCCACAATAATCAAAAAGATTCTGGAGCTGACGAACAAAGGCTCCACCAACACGTGAATGTCGAGGCTTTTCAACTTCTTGACGCCACGCCTAGTGAGAAGATTGAAAAGGACAAAAGCATTCGAATTTGTGAATTAGTGTGAGTGTACGTTAGTCTCAAGTGCTAAACATTGGTAAGTAGAAAACAAATAGTACACAAGAACAGAGTGTCTTTCCCTTGATTGAGTAGTGTAATTGGACACTTTCTTATGTTAAACATATTTTTTAGTAAATTAGGTTAGCTTTCAAATACTTATTAGTCTAAAGTTAGGCTATATCGTAATGTTAAAGATGTCTTTGTGCAAAGACAAAAAATAATAAAAAAATTGTGAAAGTTATCGCATTGAACTTCCAACGTATGAATTAAATAGAACAATGATTTTAGAAACTCTTTTCAAACGTCGTTGATAATAATTATAAACACTTCATTTACATCACGAAACCGGTAATAAAAAGTGGACAATTGCTGCAAAAGGGAGATGTTTTTACTAAACTAAAGGTCACATGGTTATTATAATCTGACGTTTTCTACAAATAGTACAAAGTTGTGTCGTGTTTCTCAGTTTCTACAAAGTTTTTCGTGAGTTGAGATTAAAAGAATGTATAACCAAGGCATACAAAAGCTTTCGCGGCAATCGTTCGCGAAGATAAAAGAAGGTCTGTATTAACATTAAAATAATCAGCAAGATCACGCAGGTCTTCTTAAAAGTGCTTAGACATCGGAATCATAGATTAGATGTTAACCTCTTCATCTACATCAGACTTTGAAGGCTTACTTTAATTTAATATCAAATACAAACAATAAAAAACACTTCAAAATCCTACTGCTATAGGAATTCGTAAAACATAATTCGTGTTACGTATAAGGAACTTCATGTTAAGTTTTGCTTCACGTTGCTCAAGATTTATTATTGACTTTTAATGTAGGACCCGATTTTATAAACTATAATTATGCCCGAATTCCCTGTTCGACAACACAACCCCTCATTGAGAAAAAGTGAGTATGTATTTTTGTTTTCAACAAAAATATATTAATAGAGCCCACGTAATTGTTATCGATTTATCAAATGTTTGCAAAGTAATTTTGAAGAATATTTTTTAACTGTAAAACTCGTTTTTATGTTTTTTATTATGATTACAAATCAACATTTGTACACTTCTGTTCACACAGTTTTTTACTGGTCTTTGTTAATCAAGACATTTTAAGACGACAGTTTTTTATTGTACAATTTGTACGATATACGAGTATATGATGATGACATTATCGCCCTTATGCTGAAATGACATTGGAAAAATGAAAAGTGACATTGTATTATAACATGCCATCGGTTAAGGAAAATCAAATTCTGCTTTCGGTATGTAAGAAGTTAACAAAATAGATCCCAGATTAAGAATGTTCTTACATATGTATAACGTGGAGCTACAAATGTTCATTAATATATAACGTATACGGTAAGATGGCCGATCTCATTCGACATCTTAGAAATACACAAACCAAAACTTTTGAATCCTTCGTACGGAATCATATCGGTTATAAATTTTAAATTATTGAGAACCAACGTAGTGTTGCTGCCCATTTGGAAAACTTTGAATTAAAATACTCTTTGAAATCGATTATAAATAAGTACTAGCGGACGCGCCTGAAGTTTTAGCGGCAATTGATTTTTATATACGTATATAGATTTACATAGGTATAAAAAAATACAACACGAACACTTATATAATGCCTTTCATCTAAAGAAAAAAAAGCATACTATCTCACCACATCTACACTGCTTTTGGCCAGTCTTAACGAGAGAAACTTAAAAGCTCTGTAAAAAACTACTAGCAAAGCGGAAAAACTGCATATTTCAATATCAATTACTGGGCAATTGCCTGAAACAATGTTTGCAACATTTACCAATTCATAAAGGTCTTCTTATCGCGACTCGTATGGAGAATCGTGTATGGTACATAAAGTGATTGTTGTACACAAGTGATCAAACCCGGCGGCGTCTTCCCGGTGGGCCCACATTACGCAAATTGCGACTTGCGCCTCACAGCAATTTTGTTATTATTGTAAACAAACAATCGCTCACTGTGTATTGTTACATTGAATAGGGCTTTGTATGTTAGAATGTGGATTGGTCAGTGTAAGCCACTCTTATCTATCTATCTTTTCCTAGTCAGTAGTAATAGGAGAATTAAGTAATTTTGTTCAATTAGTTTTGTGGAGTTTGTATCCAGATTCTTTGTTTTTCTTTATGCTATTAAATGCTTTCAATAGAAATATCTCGTATTGATATGATAAAGTTCATACTTTAATCAATAGCCTAATCATACTATTTTAATAAGTTAATGAACACGACACTTACGCTGGCCATAGACGGACCGCATGTTGCAGTCGTACACGACTGCAACACGACCGCATAATGCAGTCGACTACGACTGCTTGGAGCAGTTGTGTTCGACCGCAAAATAATACTGATGCGAGTTCATTTACAAGATGGATTTCGATGAAGAAACACTGCTACTTATACTATTATTACGCGAGCGTAGGCGTAGAAGACACTGTAGTATGTGGGTGCGTCCAATACTACAATCAAGAGAACAGCATGGAATATTTCATACTTTGTATCACCAGCTGAGAGAAGACACTAAAAAGTTTTTCAACTACTTTAGAATGTCCGTGGTTTCATTTGATGAATTAGTTAGTATGTTATTTTATTTGAGCGAGTATGGTGGGTGTAGCGGTCCGTGTATGGTGGGTCCGGCAGCTCTAAGCAGTCGACCGCACGGCGAAACTCGACCGCAGAGCGACTGCTCCGACCGCTCAGAAACTGGTCGTGCGGTCCGTGTATGGCGGATATGAATTTAGTATGGAAACTGCAGATCGCCGTGCGGCGACCGCTTAGAGCAGTCGGTATCGACTGCAACATGCGGTCCGTCTATGGCCACACTTAGATTTTTTTACATATTTATTTTCTGATTTTAAGGATATAACTTTTTATATGAAAGTATTTACTTGAAAATACGTTAATCGTTCGTCGCAAGTATATTACAATAAAATACAGACATTTTATTATCGGCAGATTAGTTCCGCCATTTTCAATTTTATAGTGATATTTCGATAAGCCGGCATGAAACGTCTATATACAATCAAATTAGATATACAAGATAAAATAATGAAGTATTTAAACCACCTATTATAATAAATTATGTTCTCTCTGCATTTTACTTATAGCACTTACCTCTACAGCCGTCAGCAGTAAGGTCCCAGTACTCCAGTTGGCAAGTATCGCAGTGCGGGGGCAAAGCGCCCGCGGTGCATTCACAGGTTCCGTTTTCTGTCTCACACACCGGACTGACAGCTGCTATTCCACAACGGCAGGTCGGACAGCCAGATTCTACATCTATAAATAAAAAAATCTTGTATATATAAACTCCAATAAAATAAAATACTTGTATAAAAAAATCGAATGTAATAAATCACAAATGAGTCTGATTTTGCGTCTATTTAAGGTAAGAATTCGTTCAACGTGTTAGACGCAACTCGCACTATCCACTGCAACGTTTAAACGTCGTATGAAATCATACTTAATCACAAAATCAATATATTTTTGTCTTACTCAGTCTTAGCACTGTCTTGGCAAATTTTGTGTCTATTTACGGTAAGAATTTGTTCAGCCTAAAGCAACGTATGTTTTGGCGGGAATTAAATGGGGCGACGCGCATTCGTTTAATGAGCGCGCTACTCGCTATACTATAACCATTGCAACGTTTAAACATTGTACGTAATTATACTTTTTCATACTAAAAATATGTTTTGTCTTACACGGTCTTAGCACTGTCATGGTAAAGCATGGCGCGATAGGCAAACTTCTTTAACCGCTAAGGCGAGATAAAATTTTATACACACGTAGGTACAGTATTTAACAATAAAATATTATAATGCTTTTTCTGTTAGTAAATTTAATGATAATCTCTGATAATATTGTAAAACATTAATGGGATTGGGAATACACGTAACGAATGCAAGGTTTTTTACGTTCTCATACGTTATGAAATAGAATGAAAGTTTTAAAATTTACAGATTTTTACCTCCATATCCTTTTGCACAGGTATCACAGGTTTGTCCGGCCCAACTGGGTGCGCAAGCGCATAGACCAGTACGCGCGTCGCACGCACTCGAGAGCGCACCACGGCCACAGGAACATGACACGCACGAGCCGTCCTCACCTCCAGACCAATAGCCGTCCTGCATTCATCAAATACATAAGGCACCAGATGTAGGGGGTGTTTCAATTGTGTATATCATATCGCATCTATACTAAAATAAACCTTTAAACGTATAAGTTCTACGGCCAATAAAACATGGATTGAAGTTAGTACCGTGTTTTTTAGTATAGTTACAATGTTATTTACATTTAAAATAAAGGTAACCATAGCAAGAAAGGTATCGTAAGTCCTCATTTTAATGCGGCCTATATGATTTATGATATAGGTTTAAACGGGGACGGTGTACAGACTTTTCCTAAGTTTACCCTGGATACATATCAAGATGAGGTTTTAACTCTTAGGCCCATATACTAATTAATATCAATTCACAATCTCATTTTGAGCGCTGTCAAATGTCAAACTTCATACAGAAGAAACGGTTTGACAGCTCTTGAAACTAGATTTAAGTTTGTTTGTCGTTGTAGAATACGGGCCCTAAAGTACTACTAAAAATTTTACGCTATGTACAATTGAATATAAATGGTGCAATTGAAACAATGACATTCTTGTTTGCAAGGATTGAACTAAAATATTAAACTTCAAACAATATGGACTTCTTCTATCGTTATGGCCAGTTCTGTTATAATTTTACATTTTAATGTTGTTAATTTTAATATCAATTATAATTATAATTTTAATTATAAAACCTACTTGACATTGGTCGCATCTCTCGCCTTCGGTATGTGGTGGGCATACGAGACAAGCACCAGTGTTGGCATGGCATGGTCCTCCACCGCATGAACATGGAATACAAGACCCACCAGGCTCAGTAGGTGAGCCCCAGTAGCCGGAGTCACACCTACGAATTGTTAGAAGTCAACGGGTTCAATAATATATTTTTTAATTTTAGATATACAAACCAACTGTTCGTGGCACTTGATAGTTAATTTGGACACAATGATTTTGTGTGTTTGTATGTTGTTTTTCGTTGCTTTATCAACCAGTCATTGGTAAGCGAAAACTGTTTATTTTTTAAAATTATAAAAGATAAGCTTTTGACAACATTATAAGCTTTGTGATTCATAACAATAATTAAAATTGATAAATAGAAAATAAAACAAATTTAAAAAGTTTGGTCTCTGTGGCAGTGTACCTTTAAAACTGGCAGCTAAAAATAAACGCAAATTCTTCATTGTCTTTAAGTGTTATAATGTAATGGAATTGTGAAAAAGTATTTAAATAAATGTACATCTAAGAGACTAACATCTCACAATGGTCTCCCGTATATCCATCAGGACACTGGGTGCAGACGAATTCGTCCCCATCAGGTCCAGCGAGTGCGCAGTTTGGACTGAAGTTGTTACTTGCTTCATATAATGGACATGCGCATGGCTTGCACCCACCCTAAAACAGACAAGAGAAAAATAAACTAAACTTAAATCAATAAAATCGGTAAATCAGTTTACCGGTAACATAATGTTACCCTATAGCCTTTCTCAATAAATAATTTTTTTTTTCATGAACCAGTATTTTTTGAGATTAAATAATACCTATTATTTATATATACATTTGAAATTTAATTAAAAAGAAAATGATTTATAATAAGATTATGTAATTGATTTTTGTAGTAATCAACTGATTATCGCGAGGTAGCAACGCCAGTGTAGGATAAGATTAAAAACTCTATCTATGTTTATGGAATGTTTATCAATCTATAAAGTGGTGTTGGAAGAGAATGTTACGAATACCATGGACGACAAATACAACAAGTCCATTCTAAACCAACTAAAGATCACCACAAGAATGTAAACTATCAATTATCATTTAGAAACGGGTGCTTAACTGGTTTGGCCATATTGCCAGGAGAGAACGGGATGGATGAAGTTGGTAATGGTAGGGAAGAGTGACGGTAGGAGAAGTTGCCTACCCGTTGTTCTGATCAAATTAAGACAATTATTAGTCTCAACATCCCTAATGATCTGAGACCAGCTGAGGATAGAGAGACCAGTGTGGAGGAAGGAAGTCGACGTTAGGGCTTTACAAGACGGGCACAACATTCCGTATTTAAAACTACGAAGAGAAAGAACGATACCAACAATTTTAACAGACGTAATGCTTATAAAATTAAGAAAAGCTTGCCCAATCAAATTGGTACACCTATTGCACGAAAAGTAAAGCGTTTTTAGCGTTCAATAATTATTAAAAAAGCGTAATTAAAGGGCCATAGTAATAAACATACCGTAACAGGATTTCCGTAGTGTCCAGGCAGACATCGCTCGCAGTGTGGCCCTGTCGTATTGTGTTGGCACTCACCGCATGGACCATCCACTGAAGACAATTACGATGTGATTTCCAAAAATCGTTATAGCATAATATTGTCTCTGGTTTATTGTACTTCATTCAAATATTCTTTAAGAGATATTAATACTAATAAGTATCGAATTGTTATCTGTCAATTTGATGTGGTGACTTTTCTAACACTTGTATCTTTTGGAATATACTTTATCTTTACCACTAATAGGAAGACTGTTTCATAGTATTTTAAATTTTGTGATACGTGGTGTAATAAAATATTTATTGCTTAATCATGAATGTCGTCATAAATGAAAACAAAATGGACACCTGCAACCCTGGAAGAATAACAAATGAGTCGCCATTTACAGATCTTACCCTTTTTCTTAAAGATATAAACTAATCTTTATATAAACTACGCCTCACGTTGTTTGTCCGCTATGGACTCCTAAACTACTGAACCGATTTCAATCAAATTTGCACACCGTGTGCAGTTTTATCTATCCTAAAAGATAGGATAATCTTACATATATATATGTATATTATACTGTACGTGTGTATGTCCCTGAATTCCTCTTAAACGGCTGGACCGATTTGAATGATTTCGTATACGTTTGGGTGGAGCCTTGGATGGTTTAAATTCACAAATCAGCCCGGCAGATGGTGCTGCAGTTGGTACTTTTATGCTTTGTTTAATATCCTAATCCCTTGAAATATCATGCAGGACAACGTCTGTCGGGGCCGCAAGTTTATTATAAAATATTACATCACTATTACATATCTATAGGAGGGGTTCAATATACCTGTATTACACCCAGCGTGCATATTACACCCGCAAGGCACGCACTCAAAGGAAGGTTGGCTGCCGGAAGCCCTCTTGATCTTCACGTGGGTCCAAGAACATTTGGAACAGTGCGGGCCCTCGTAACCGTTGGGACATACGCAAACTTCTTTAGCGCTGTGGGAACTTCTGATTTCGACGCCTTCTAATCTTACCTGAGAAAATGTACAAATTACTAAAGTTTCCCCGTCCAAGGTTGATTTGAGAATGTAGTGGATTTGAATTTAGAAGAACACACAATCTAATTATAATATAAAATATATTTGTGAGATACATTATGTTTCCGTGCAATGGCCAAGTTAATGTATTTATAAAAAAACATAAAAGCTTTGTAAAATTGATATGGCCAGTATAAGATGTTGTTAGGTTATCTAATTACGTAATAACTTAAGACAGAAGGTAACTTAAGTAGGGACTGAACAAATTAACCGACTTGGTATTACAACTACTATTGGATCTCACAACTTTTTCCGTAGAAGTAATGCGTTGCGAGTTAATGATACCGTGATGACGATTTCAAACCAAATGTTAGCAATCATCATCACACTTGAAGCCAAAATGAGCTTTTTTCATATCATATCATAACATTCTCCACTACAGTTATATTCTTTATAGGTAGCAGCCTTTTTTTGGCATTCTAATATGGAGGGAGCTTGTAGTTTATTGTTTATCAGAATGCCAAATCGTAAAATGACTGCTTCAGGACTGATTTGAGCGCGACCGCCGCTGCGAAAACCGCTGTGAGAGTTCGAAAAGTGAGTTACAGAATCGCAAGGCAGAAGTTTTGCTTAGATTTAAGAACCCTTAAATAAGTCAAGTTAGTTTTTTGTTAATCCAGCGTCACAACCCCTAACTTTACTTTAGATATAAGCTCATCTTATAAACGATTAAAGCCAGTTGACACCGAGCTTCAAACAAAGAGTTTAATTTATTTTAACATCCCTCCAACAACCGTCAGCAAACTTAACTCGAGATTTGGTTTTTTACAAGTTATTTTTTTATGGCATTTAGCTGTACTAGGTGCTAATAGGCTGCATTAATTTCATATTTTGTATACATGAATTGATGTCCTATATATTTCTGCTATACCCATTTTTAAAGAAAATGTAGTATGTCATAAACTATTCAATTGCTGTGGTGGGCTGTTCAGGAATTGGCTTTATAAATAGACTCCAGACATTTTCTTTCATTGACACGCCCACACAGTGTTTACCCATAAGGTCTATTTGGTTGGTTTTCCTGCGTCTAAAGTGTATATTGTCAACATTTGTAAAGATTGGAAATAAACGTGCTTTGTTATTATTATACCTCATCCTGATCGTTATGAAAGTGTGCCCGTATCATGACACTGCGCAGGTCACTGAGGACGTCCAACAGTTGACTTCTCGTCGCAACTTCACTCTCCTGGTACCAGCTGCCCTCACGGAGTGAAGCGACTAACTCCAGCTGCCCGGCGTTCTCGTGACTGCTGTTTATGTATGTTAGTTTTTTACCACCTGCAATTAAGTGCTAGAATAAGTATATTTTGTTTGTCAGAAATTTGTCGTAAAAATATCAATGGACCTTGCATATTCGGGCGGATACAAATAAGAACAAATTACAGAAAACATTTACTTCGTCAAAAAGAATTTATAATTTACATAATTAATACTTTTATCGAATAGTAATAAAGCAAGGGATCGGTCCCTTCTATAAAGTATTTCTATACAAATTCTTAAAAGTATTTATTTTTATTTTTATAGAACAGGGGGCAAACGGGCAGGAGGCTCACCTGATGTTAAGTGATACCGCCGCCCATGGACACTCAATGCCAGAGGGCTCGCGATTGCGTTGCCGGCCTTTTAAGAATTTGTACGCTCTTTTCTTGAAGGACCCTAAGTCGAATTGGTTGGAAAAACTTCTGTGGGCTGGTTCCACAAAGTGGTGGTGCGCGGCAAAAACTGCCTTGATAAACGCTCAGTTGTGGAACGGCGGACGTCGAGGTTATATGGGTGGAATTTCGTGTTCTGCCTCGACGTCCGATGATAAAACTTAGCTGCAGGTATTAATCCGAACAACTCCTCTGAACACTCTCCATGGTAAATGCGGTAGAAGATGCAAAGTGATCCCACATCTCTACGCCAAAGGACCAAGCCGCATATAAATATATGCATGAAATGACAGCTATAAACAATAAACTCACCAAACTGGGCGATTTCTTCGTTTGTAAATGTTTCATCTACATTAATATTATAAAGATGATAGATTTTACTCTTTGTTTATTACAGGACTGAATTGAAAAATTGTTTCACCATTAGAATCCTACTTCATACCTTATATAAGTTATGTAGTATTTCTTTTAAAGCATGTAATTATGATACTGTAATCCAAGGTGAAACTATTGACAAGTGCAAAGTTACAAGTAACATAATATATAGTTTTATAGAAGACATCAACAGTCCGTTATACGATATTTCTAATATACTAACTTATATTCTTATAGCATTTAAACTATTTACCGAGAAAAGCTTTGGGCTATAGAACTTCGTGCTACGGCTGAATTATTAAGGCAAGTGGAACTCCAGAGCACAGCTAGTGTATAATCATATTGGTTGTCACAAAGACCTGAAGATCAACATACCATGAGATATAAGAATGAAGTCTGGTCCAACAGTTGGGCTTCCACCAGTATCACCTCGCGCTACGCCCCAATACAGACTCACTCGGATCTCTCCCCCATACACTTCCAATTGCTCTCCACTGAACGTGTTTGTCAACCAGTAGAATGACTCCCAACCTTCTACCTAAAAACATTAAAATTGTTTGACAGTTCTTGAAATTAGATTTAAGTTTGATTGACATTCTTAATTACGGGCGTTGGCCTTTGTACTTACAATGGTATATTTAAAAAAAAATAGTAATTTGTTCTGATCTCTTTCATTTCGCCTTCTCCTAGTAAATCCCTGTATCTTTACTTTAAAAGTGAATAAAAATACATTTACACAACTACATACCTCATAAGTGATGAGGAAAGGTTTCCCCTGTTCATCCAGCGAGGGTTCCATGGTCTCTTGAAGATCGTCGTCGCTGATAGCCCAGGCCTCACCCAGAGGCAACACCACCTTTCCTCCAGAACGAACATTATTACTATTTTAAACATTTTAATATCGCATAACTATATAAATAATAATGAATCTCAAAATATGATGCTAATCTCAAAACTCGAAGAGGGCTGGACCAATTCAATTGTATTTTAATTTATTCCTTGGATTCTCAGAATTTAGTAAAACACGTGACTTAAAAAAACAGTTTCATAAAAAATCGTATTAAGACGAAACGAAGTTCGCGGGGGCAGCTATGTTTTATAATAAAATCTATAACTGCTCACTGCTCTGTTCAGTTCTCTTATGAGAGAGGTGATTTTTAGGTAATAATTACTCCTGAAATTTCTCTGTTTAGATATTGTAAAGTATATGACGTATACTCTCTATTGTAAAGCTGAAGAGTTTTTTTACCAATAATACCTAGATTTGTGTTGGCCATTACAGAAGCTAGTCCATAGGCTATAGGATAGATATTATCTACTTACCACAAAGCTAGTTATTTAAAAGCAACCAAAGGAGTGATGATTAATAATGTTATCAACCGTATCACACAATTGTTATCAATCACTTATCAAACTCACGTCTGGATAGGGGTGGGGTCGTCGATCGATGCGGCATGAGTCGGCAAGGTGTGAACAGTAACACGGGAGACAGCCTTCTAAAATATCAGCACTGAGGCCAAAAAATCCCGGGGCACACTCATCACAGCGCTCGCCAATCACGTTGTTCTGGAATTATTCGAATTAAGAATGTTTACAACAAAGAAAACAATTGAAATAGCTTTCATTTCGAATTTACAACAAGTGTTATTTGTTCAGAATATTGATGACAGGAAAGTTTTGTTATAAGTTAGACAAAACATAAACTGCTGGTTTTGTTATTGTTATAGGAACGATTACGCTTGCTGGCTTTGTTGTAATAATAAGTATACTATATTCAGAAGGCTCGCTCTTTTCTTTAAGTACTTTACAGGTATTATTCAGAAACCAGTCTTAGTAAGAACTATGACTCCCTCAATGTATGTCAAAATCCAATACGTTTTTGATATTACACAAAAAAAGTATTAAAATTCAAAATTGTTTATTTTATACTATATAGTGACTGAAATTATTTAAGTCACTTAAATTATAAAATTTGAAGTAAATACAAATAATTTGAATTATACTCACTTTACACTCACAGATGTCATCACACACTCGGTTGGAATCTACAAGACCCCTCGGATCACATTTGCATGTTGGGGTCGTGATCTCCACTACACAGTTAGGAAAGACTGCGTTAATGTCCTCGCAGGACTCGCATTTGGGTCCAGAGAATCCAGGATGGCACGCACACAATACCCGTTGATGGTTTCTGTCCCAGATACATGACCCTAGAATATAGCGATGATTTCACAACTGCAATTGGTATAATACTCATAATACTATTCGAAAACTTATGTGGCAGTTACGAATGATACTTACCAGTCGTAACTGCTACGATCCGTTAACTGTCTTTTAAAATTATACGACTCAAAGGTATGATGATTAGTAATACTAGGTCTTTAAAGCTTTTAAATTGTGTTTGTGTAAAACGCAATTCGTACAACAAAATACAAGATTTAATAAATATGAAAAGATAAAAAAAAATTAAACCAAAAAAATTAAATAATAAAAACTAAAGAAATATTGATTTCATTGTACGCTAATCTGGCTTCGTATGTTGGCAACTCCTTTTTCGAGATGCCACTGGAGAAAAGTAGATGCCACACACAAATCCTTTTTTTAATCGCCAGAATATTAGTGTTAAGATTTAGTGAAATATAGCTAAAACAAAACATTCTTTGATTTTCATAATCGACAGAAATTAGCTACAATACAATTAATCAGATAATCAAATTCGCAATTAAAAATATAGATTACCATCAGATCCCTCAGGATCGCAGTCGCAAGGCACGCACGGTCCATCCGGTATGGCGTTGTAGAAACCCACCAAACAGTGGTCGCATAATGGACCAGCACGATTTTCCTGTAATTAAGTCAAAAAAGATGGTTATTGTCCTAGAATATTTAAGACGATCATATGAAATAACCAAATATGGTTAAATCTTTTATTGTAGGTATCTATGAATAATTTTAACTTATAAATTATATTTAAATTTATTTTTACAGTTTTTTATGAGTTATTAAGTAAGACAAGAATTTTGTGGAGTTCCGAACTTTTGACGAACAGGTTGTTCTTCAAAGTTCTTCAGGTTTCTTAAAGATTTAACAGGTTAATCGTGGAGATGTTCTTTGCAATAGTGCTTTTCACTTGTTTTGTATTCGAAAGCAAAAGATGTTGCAGAAACACAATACCATAGATACGTCCTTACCGTACAATTAACACAAAGTATATCTCCGTTGTCGTCGAACGTGCATTCTCCTCTTTCCCCACAGGCGCAATCCCTGGCAGCCTCGCAGGGCTCGTGAGGACGCCATTTTGATCCGGAGCAGCAACGTTGACAATGTCCGCCACAGGTACCGTGCTGACAGTCGCATTTAGCACCCTGAAAGGAAAATATTTTAATACTTATGTTGCTCCAACTTATCGTTGCTTTAGTGACTATTAACTCTAGATAATTAGTCTCGAAAACATTGATTTACTTCAAAAATAGTATATCCTATTGCATTATTAAAGAATTCAAGTGAATGACTTTGCAAGATTGAATTAGTTATCATGGCATAATAATATAAAAACGCAAATACATTAAATTTTAATCATCGAAACGTAGATGGGATATGATACATGCTGTATTCTTGGTATTAGATAATGAACTTGTAGTAATTATAGTTTCGTTATGGATGATAATTAAGTATTTAAGTATTTATTAGTAATTAAGTATTGTTGTATAGATGTTTTTGTTAGTAATAAATGTTATGTCTATGTCCGTCTAAGTACCTTCCGGTCCACGTTGCAGTGAGTAGCATGCCCATGGCAGAGACATCTAGCGGCCAGGGTCAACTCTCGAACGGTATAGTAATGGTGAGGCTCTGGGTGCGTCGCGCGAAACGACAAACGCACGCGCCGTGCGCTCACTCCTTCACCTATTGCTACGTGCATCTGGAAAGTTAATGGTGACATTTTATCTTCTATCTATCCTCTTTAGACTGTAAAGGCCTAAGATAATACAAGAAAGTTTCTAAGATATTCGAAGCCAAACTTTCCAGAATACAACGAGAATGAACTTGTGTAAGAGCTACTTAGTATTTACAATATTCAATTAATATAATGGCAGTTATTTAAGACAGAATACACCTATATATTGTATTGTAAATGTATTCATCGATTGACAGAAGGGCGGAAATCATTTACTTTTACAATAGGAATGTTTTATCCAACCAAATCGTTAAATTAGAGTAAATAGTGGTATACAATATAGAGACACCTATAAAGTACAGTATACATAACAAGATTACACCAACTGATAATATCTAGTTATCGTCACATTTTTGAAGTTATACTTCTTTAGGCGCGTTATCAAAAATTGATGAGATTGAAATTTTACGATGCGCGCGCACCGTGACACAAAATTAACAGAATGAAGTTAGTGGCGCATGTTGGCACGCACGCCGCCTCCGTTCACTGTGTATTTATATTTATAATATTTATCCACATGCTTTGAGTTTCTGCATTTAAAACACATGTTTTCATTATACAAGTGCGAGTTTTATATGTGCGTCTGAATTATAATCCGAAGTGATTTAAATTGAATATTTAAATCAATACTAATTAATATTAGAAAATAATACTTAATAAATATAAATATAATATTAATAAATATTTATTTATTTAAATTATCAAATGTAGACTGAACTTAGTTGACTATAATATATAATGACTCCTTTTCCAGTCTTTGATTATTTAATTGTAATTAATTATTTGCATACAATCAAAAACTATTTAGAATAATGCCAAAGAAGTATAACTTCTTACGCGCGTACATAAGTACACGCACCCTTTTTTTTTAATACCGACGAGTCGGCCGCACCACTCTACCGACATTTTAACTACGAGTACTACGGAGAGTAGATGTCAAAATTCTGCAACACAACAACTAGCCGATACGTAATAAGAATAACACATTTTGGTCTAAGATCCCGCTATACAACGACCTTCACCGAGATGCTTATTTAATGAAACTTATTTTATATATAATTTAATATGTCAATAAATATAATCCATATGGGTTGCCTAGCAAATTTCAGTCCAGAGTATGTTTAATTAATTTAAAAAAAAAATATTTTTTTAAACATTTCACCGGTATGATTATTAGATAAATTCTATACCAATTGAACGTATGAAGCCCATAGAATATGCAAACGTTAGGTTGTTTTTAATCAATTAATTATTTATGTGTATATTTTTTATGTGACACTAAAGTATATATACATCTTTAGTATAAAAGAAGGTTATAGTGATACATATATAATACTACACTGATTAAAAATATTGATTGAAAAAAGTTCAAAACATTTACTACATGCAAATTATAAAAAAAAATTTTTTTTAATATTAATTAAACATACTCTGGACTGAAATTTGCTAGGCAAACCATATGGATTATATTTATTGACATATTAAATTAAATATAAAATAAGTTTCATTAAATATCCATCTCGGTGAAGGTCGTTGTATAGCGGGATCTTATACTATTTAGAATGGTTCAAAATTGTTTCACGCTCACGTATTAATTTGTATAATGACAACATTGTTAATTATTTATTATGTTTGCTTTATTGAAGAATAAAGATTTTTTTCATATCAAGTTTTTATATCGCTTTTATTTGATTTTGATTAAACTTTGATGATTATCATTACTAATTTTAATAGTGTCTACATTCATTACTCTAAGTTAAATTGTGACTCAATACTGTCAGTTAATATTTTGTAGAAAGTAGTTTCTTTATACAATCTATACAACTATATGAAAATTAAAAGAAAAAGCGCCTCTGAATTACACCCATTTCTTTATCTCTAATGAGTGTTTATCAATTGATATCGAACACACTTGTTTTCATGAGTAATACATACAGGTGATGTAACTTTCCAATCTGTTCCCGTAAGTAATTCCCTGCTTAACTATGGAAAATTGACTTCATACTAGTTATACCTCTCAATAGGTTTCAATAAATTTTGATTACCGATTCATTTGATAATGAGACCTTGGAAAAACTTAGTTTCGATTGTTATTTTATTACTATTAATTTAAGAAATCATTCGTCAATCATATAATCTCTTAGTACTGGCGTATTATTCCTAAAATCACGATTATTTAGAAATATAATTATAATTAGAACAAAACAATGTGTTTTGTATGAAATATTTTTGTACAGGTATCATTCAACAGCACAGAACTTCTTACTGAGTCATGAAATAATTGAGCTAAACGTTGCCTACAAAAACGAGTTGTAGTTTACTGTTTAAAAACTTTTATATATTACTAATGGTTTCAGTTGAATGTATACAGACCTCTCCATTTTCCAAAGGTTTGGGATTCGCAAACTGCGTAGAACATGTCACTTTCTCCTTCCCTTTTGCTCTGGCCTTCCGGCGTTTCCGCTCTGGTCGTAAGTCCCACAGGCGCTTGCAATGCTCCCTATCTCCGAAGGCTCTAATCATACGCCAATCATCTCCTCCTAGAGTATGGGATACCTCCAATGACCACGCCAAGGGCCGAGGCGAGGGACCCGACTTTATAATCACGTGGAGGAGCTCCATTTTCTGAAAAGAAAATTGAATGATTTTTTGATCTACAAGTTTTGTGAGGTGCGCTTTATATTAAAACTAAATACTTGAAAGATGTAGGAAAAGGCTGCATTATTGTGACACAGGAATGTTGAGATTTTTTTTAAACTGGTTTATGGTTTTTAAACAGCAACTTCACGTAGTAAATTACGAATATTTGGAATTTTAAAATCCTAAATCCTTGGTTTTGTAGTTGCGCAGGGTTTAAACATACCAGAGATATTTTATTTTGAAATATAAATGTTACTTATAATAATATAGGCCTGGTGATCGCCTTTCCTGCTCAACGATGAGTATCGCATAAAATGCTGCCAGCGTTAAAGTAGGGTGACCTACTCACGTTCGTTCTTTTACTTTTTTTATTTATTAATTTTTAATTATTATTATTATTTAGTAATACCTACATAGTAATAATAAATACCTTAATTACCAAGAATTCAATCTACTATTGTTTTGTTTATATTTAGCTATAAATGCATATTATCTTATTATTTGTATGAAATATAGACCATTTTAATGTAACTTAACAACACCATTAGGCTAAAATCGTATGTTGAGCTTTCGATCAGTCACAGAGTACATAATAAGAACCCATAGTCGTGATTTTACCTCTTACAACGACACATTGTTTGCAATGTTTTAACTTTGTTGTTTTAACTTAACAAATAGAATATCGACACGGTATCTATGCACTATTCCCTCGGAGTCCATTAAAAATACAAACAGAGGCAAGTCTGGCTGAAACTGAATTAGTTAAGCGTGTGTCGCCTATTAGCGCGCAATAGGGTTGACAACAAATGAATTTAAAAATATTTATTCAGACGGTAAACTACAAGAATAATAACAATATACAAAAATAAAAAAAAATGTAGCATGGCCCTTAAGGGGTTTTATTCAGCAGAAACTCTGGCGCTGATTTTCAATAACAAGTCGAAAGGGGTTCGATTGAAATTAAGATTTTGCAAGTGAAATAAATTACTGTACCTATGTATAACAAACAAATGCATCTGAAGTGTCAACGTATCCTAGACATTTAATACTAGTAAAAAGCTTAGAATAAATTTGTAGTTTTTAATAACAGGAGGACCAAACAAATTAACAAATATTAATCAATTGCCAAGTTAGAAGTCAGTAATACAAGCACAGAAAAATAAAAAGAACATAGGTAGGTGGTTACCTCTTACCTCTACAATTCTTCTTTCGCAAAAAAAAAAATACGTCCATATTACAGGAATACAGTAATGCCACAGCCCTGCGTGTGGGAACGATGTGGCCGTAAGAAAAACAATTTGTTTGTCTTTACTGTGGTATTGTGAAGTTTAAAGCTACAAAGTGGCAAAGCAAATAATTGGAATCTATTTTTAGCGTCATATCAATTCTCTACACGTTTAGCTATTTAGTTTGTTCGTAGAAGCTTTTATAAATAGATAGAGATAGTATTTTGGTACTTTCCTAAGGTAAACTTCACTAAAATAGTTTATAGGAATCGTAAAACGAGAGATCGTTTTTAATTCTAGTTAGAACGGATAGATCGAGTATTTTTAGTAGTTATAAATATGCAATACCTCCATCAAAATTACGCCCTTGTGCCCATATTCTGTTATCTCAAGGTTAAAACATCTGCAATCTTTAATATATAGAACGACATTATTAAACCTAATCTGGTAACAGTTTACCTAAACCAAGATATAAATAAAAATTATGTATCAGTAGACTAAGCAGTTAATCCATAAACATAAATCAAAGCTAATGATAACACATGTCGTAAATATAAAGGCATTGTTTTGTTTAAGTTATCAGTGCAAGAGACATAATATTGTATTTTCTTTGTCTATATAAGCCGCAGTAAGATCTGTCTCAATCCATCTCTCGTAATCTTTTCCATAGCCCAAACAAATTGCAGAAAGACCCTGCATGCGGAAGAATTTAGGATCCTCAACTTTATCTATTCAATGAGAGTAAATTCCAAGCTGTTTCCCAATCCCATTTAGTGTTTCCCATAAGAACACAACACATTCTCCCATCGACTGGTAATAAATCACCCGCGTGAGCCTTATGAGGCCCTCGCAAAAACCGCAAGGATGGCCACAGATGCCGCTAGCTTCGTTAGTTCAGCCTTACATGGAGGAAATGGAATGTTTTCCTTTAAGTATTGATTAAACTGATTTTATCATTTAAACATTTTCAAAGGACAAATCTAAATGTAATCATATTCTCCCAGTGCTAAAAATATTCAGATCTAATTTGCGTTATAGTAACATGTAATATAATACTAAAAACTATATATTTATAAAATTGTTTCTAAAATTAAAATTGAGTTCATGTTTATTATAACCAAAAATGTGGCTATTTTAAAACAAAACAAAAATTCGCAAACAAAACCAATTCCCACTATCAACGGCTACTATCCTGATAAGATATCGGTGATAAGTCGTCTCAGTGTACCGCGTAACTTTGAGAATGATATACATAAAAAATTCGCTAGCAACATAAAATCGGGTCAACGTTTACTGACGTTGATTTTGACCCTTTGTACTTGATATAATGTCAAAGGCTGATGCTGGTCCAAGTCTCCAGGGGGTAAGAGTAGAACCTCGATACTCCTACGACAAAAATAGAAGTAAAAGTAGAAGTGTGGATTTCGTGTATGTAAACTCAGCGTACGTTGGAAGTGTGAATGATGTGAACCAAAGTCGATTGGAGCCTCCTCCTACTACGTAAGTAATAATAATATTTTGTAGAAGGAAGTCTATAAGATTAAGGCAAATATCTTTGCTACAATATAACGTATATCTTTATACTCATTACTTTTAGGTTTACGTAAATAATGCGTCTCTTTGCGGTTCCTACAAAGTATACTACGGAGAGTGTTCGGAAGAATTGTTTGTGTTGATCCCCTCTGCCTCTTTTCAACACCGTACGAGCCGTACGAGCTCTAAATTTCACCAACATCATCTTGATGGTTGGAGGTCTTCCACAGTCCGTTTCACAAGGCATTTTCTTCTGCGAACTAGCGAACTGTGGAGTCGACTCCTGGTGGGGGTTTTCCCTCAGAGATACGACCTCCAAATGTTTAAAAATCGAGTGTACTCCTCCCTCAAAGGCCGGCAACGCACCCACTAAAAATGGGTGTCTATGGGCTGCGAAGACTGCCCTTTTTGGTCGTCCCGTAAGCTAGTATTGTCTTTGATTTACATAACCTTTACACATTTAAAGAAAAAACTGTTTGACGGGGGATGGAAGTTATGTATTATTATAAATTATGTTTATGTGTATGTTTTAAACGTCCCGTAAGCTGTTTTGCCCCCTATTATATAAAAAAATGTACTTTTAAGTGTGTAACTAGACGTTTTGAGCAGGTTTCCTGTTGGTGTGGTTAAATTTTACATAACACCTAGGTCCAATTTTAATCCCATTAAAGCAGACACGACATTTTGTCATTGATTAGAAATTAAAATCAATCATATTGATATTGTCTGTATTAGATAGATTTTAATTATCCCGCCCTTCTAGTTTTGGTTTCCTGATTATATAGAGAACTAGATCTTTAAAAATAATTTATAGAGCAATACATTGTAACGTAACCATACTATTATTATCTATGAAGCTTGACAATATGGGCTTTGTCTATTACCGATATCGTATTATCTATGAAGTATGTATTTCGATAAAGCACTCTTATCTGCAGCTGCGAAACATATTTAATATCTGTCTTAATACGATGTTTTTGATAAACACTAAAAACAATGTTTTTTCACAATAATAAAATAATAAAATCTAGATTCCAATGTTTTATATCTGTCCTATAAGTATAAAACTATAAAATTATTATTTTTTTTTTTTTCAAAAACATCCTGAAATAAATCCGCGAATAAATTTAATATAATAAGCAGCTAAATTTTCAGGGTGATCAGAGAGCAGTACTGGGCATGTTCCAAGTGGCCGATGGGTCAACGTATCCTGGCCATCACTGTGGGCGTTCTTCTTGGAACCGTCATCGGTCTTACCATCCTCGTGGTAATCAGGGGCGATGATGACAACTTTCCCGACATCTTGAGGAGAGTACCAGTAGAAGACTGATTGGTTTAACAGTAAAAATGTTTGAGTGTTGCTAGCCGCCATTATTTCCGATAACTTAAGGAAACTTTGTTTAATAAGTACGCGTGAGCGTGTGTAAATGGGAAAAAAGAGTATGAAAGTTTAATATAAAATAAATAAAAGTGTCAATCTAAATGTATATTAAAACTAACAATTAATTGAAAACAGAACTGACTAGTAGAAGACAAAAAAATAGAAGTAAAAAAATGAATTAAGAAACAAATGAACTAACTTCTTGTATTTATAAGATCTAGTTTTCGGCTAAAAAACTTTAAAATTATGAGTACACGCAGGTTTTTGTTTTTGTTAGCAAAATTTATATTTTTGTTAAATAGACTACAAGATATCTATATCTGATTCGTCAAGATAAGATGGCTTATCCTAGCGAAATAAACAACAGTTTTCAATACCATTATGATACGGCCATGGAACATTCTAAAAATAAACTATTGTTTGTCAAACATTCAGTTTTCTAATATAAATTAATTAATTTGTAAATTAAGGTAATGTTAAATAAAAACTCTTTGTCTACGTTATCGTTATAATTATTATCATATTTACTTTCAAAAAATTTCAATAAATCATTTATCTTTTGTTCCTTTGTCACCGGAAACTATTTCTTAGTTTCAAATCGTAAAATAGGTTAAGGTTATTAGGGTAGGTAGGTTTTCAAAATGGTTTATAACCAGTACTACTTATCAATCTTATGTTTTCGTACCATGTGAATAATTTTTCAGCGCTACGATTATCTGAAGTAATACATTAACTACTTTATCCTAAAGACCCTAAATTTAGGAATAATGTAGTTTTGAAAGGTTTGGTTCACAGCCTCAGTGTAGACATTTTAAAATTTTCTTCTTATCTATAGTTAATAGTTAAAGTTTTTACTAAATGTCTCATTGTCTCCTTAAATCTTAATATACAAGTAGCGGCTCGAAACTCTAGCGCTGACCGTTATTGCGCAGAAGTAAAAAATAAGGTACCTGAGGGGGGCTAGCGGAATGAAGAGCGTCGATTGGCTCTCCAGTCGCATTCCGTCCCCCGCACCGATACGACACATGCGCAGCAATCCCCTCCACGTATCGGCCAGCGCTAGACTTACGTGCCGCTGCCTATACAACTGATAACGGATGTAATGTATGTAAAAAATTAAACACAATTCGAAACAAAGATTTTGGCATTTCATTTTAAATTCATATTTTCTCTACCCTTACCTTTACCTTTTTTTAATCCGAGTAAAAAAAACCTAATGACTAACACATTCTAGATAACTAGATAGATAAAACCTCATCAAGTTATACCAACATCGCCGAATTAAGGAGGAATTTCACATCTTATTCTACGGGGAAAATATACCTATGACGATCCTATCAGTGGTTTAAAATAATCATTTTAATTTTTCACTTTCTTCTTATTAACTGGCAAAAGATAACATTAATCAACTCTAATTAAATATTTAGGAAGCGTCCTTGTTAAGAGACATTATCTTTAAAGAAAAACATTATCAAGATAATTTTAAAGATAACATTTACTTAAACGTATTATATTGAATAGAATAATTATTAAATGTATATTGTATCCCTTTATTCATAAAAAAATATTTTTACGCTTTCTATAAAATTGAGTTTAGTGATGAAAATGAAGTTAAAACGGTGTCATTGGAGCATTCCAGATTGCACGTTCGAGTATAAACAATACATATATATATATATATATATATAAATATATATATATAAGGAACCTTTAAAAGTTGACAGGTGACTTGGTAATGATTTAATTTAATTGAAGTGAAACTTCTTATGCGACTTCCAACAATGTTGCGTTAGTGTCGCCGCACACGGGCCACACGCGACAGCCACAAACGCCGCCACGAGAAGCTAGAAGCGGCTACAAAGGTAGCTGAAGCGCGCGACAGCCACTTGAGGCCGGTGGTCGACACTTGCGATCGGTGGCTGCTACTTTTTTTAACCCTTGCGTGCAGTATAATAATGGACTCTGACGAAGAAGGTTTAATTGCGCTACTTTTGATAAAAAGACGTCGTCATAGAAGACGAAACCGTAGTTATTGGATACACAGAAAGACATTAAATATCCCCTCATCACGACAGGTCGGTAATCGACAACCATTGAACTATACATTTGTTGGTGATGAAGCATTTGGCCTCAGTGAAAATATGATGAGGCCATATGCTGGATTATTTTTTTATAGAACGGGGGGCAAACGGGCAGGAGGCTCACCTGATGTTAAGTGATACCGCCGCCCATGGACACTCTCAATGCCAGAGGGCTCGCGAGTGCGTTGCCGGCCTTTTAAGAATTGGTACGCTCTTTTCTTGAAGGACCCTAAGTCGAATTGGTTCGGAAATAGGTACCACCGCACTTTTTTGACGATACTAATTATTTAGGAGTCTCGGGGGACCTTCATTGGAACACCTCCAAGTGAGTTTTGCTACGGAAACGCGTCTAAATATAAAAAAAAATTATTCGTCGATTTAGCAATTTTCATGGGTATACGATATATGCTACATTGCTTTTGAGAATGCACTAAACCATTCTCTTCAGCGAATGCCACACACTGCTCATTGGTACCTAATTTTTTATATATTTTAATCAGATCCCACATTGTGATCACTTCTTCACTATACAAGTCACGATACACAACAGACCCATCGTCCTCAAAATCATTCTCACGAGTAAAACTTGTAGACGCCATCACTATAAATCTGAAAATGATCGCGAGAAATCAGTGTTTATTATGTATGCAAGAGCTGGCAATTAATAATGGTTTCCATTATTTTGGAGAACAAGGAGGTTATAGCTATTGGGCGATAGTTGAAAGGATCAGAGCGATCGCCTTTTTTAGGGATCGGATGTATCGAAGCGGTCTTCCAGCACTTCGGGACAGTGCCGAGCGAGTACAGGTACCGGAAAAGGCGCGTTAAGACCGGAGCCAACTCAGGAGCACAAGTACGCAGCACAATTGGGGGGATACCATCCGGCCCGCTCGACTTATGAATGTCCAAGGAAGATAGTGCTTTGCGGACAGCACGTTGCCGGAATGTGATTTCCATGTGGCATCGAAGAATCACACCGCGAAATGGTCGGTGGTGATCTCCCTCGGTCATCCAAAGTCGAGTTGGACGCGAAGAGACAGCCCAAAAGATCGGCCTTCTCCTTCGCAGTGTGGGTCAGAGAGTCATCATCCCTGTGCAGTGGCGGAATGGCGGGCTGACAAAAATTCCCTTGGACAGCTTTGGCGAGAGACCAGAAGGCTCGAGTCCCTGAAGGGAGCTGGGCCAATCTCTCGCCAAATCTGGCAATGTGCTCTGACTTTGCCTTAGTGATTTCCCGTTTGAAGGACCTGGAGGCTGAGTTATATGCTGTTTTAAGTTCGCTGGTATTGGCATCACGAGATTTCGCCGCTTCCGCCCATGCCTTAAAGCATTCTCGCTTTCGACGCGAGGCCGCCTGGCAAGAACGTTTAAACCAGGGCTGAGACTTGCCACCGATCGGCACCGCAGAAAATGGAATAAAGAGTTCCATGCCCTGCAGAACCACTTCGGCGACAGAGGCGGCGACGGAATCTGGAGCTTCCGGCGAAAAGCACATAGGCCACCAAGGGTAGGACGCAAAGAAAGACCGCATCCCGTCCCAATCTGCTGACTTATAGTGCCAAATACGGCGACAACCCATAAAGCGGGGCCGTGAAGGGCGCGTAGATGGCACAGTACTCCGGACCACAGAATGATCCGATGAACCCAATGGCGGGTCAACAGAGACTTGATAGTTCTCCGGATGTGAAGTCAGCAGAAGGTCCAACAAAGAGGGTTTATGACCATCCACATCTGGTATTCGCGTAATCGCAGGGACCATTTGTGTCAGGTCGTAGGCTAAAGCAAAGTCGTGAAAGGATCTTCCCGCGTGATCGGTGGTTTCCGAGCCGAGCCAATCGGCATGGTGGGCGTTAAAACCCTTTCGAGCAGGGAATCTGAAGCCATTTGGATGTGCTCAATGAGTCGGTCAGTTTCGGTATTTCCACTATGGGACCTATACAGGCATGCGTAGAATCGCGGATGGTCATCGCAGTCTACGCACAGTCAGAGGTTAGATAGGTCCCTTCCTTCAAGCGTCCCGAGGCGACGAGAACAGATATCCTCTCTGACGTACACGCAAACTCCCGCCCGCGGCACAAATTAATGTTCCAATTTGTACCCCGGGTAGGAGAGGTAGGAAGTATCAGCCGGGGAGGAAATCTGAGTCTCGGTAAGAAAGAGCAAGGCCGGCTTCGCAGTCTCTAAATGGTAGTGGACTGCGTTGATATTGGAATTGAGCCCCCTAACATTTGTGAAGTCCACGGCGAGCGTGGACGGGGGTGCCTTTGTTGAATTGCTCCGTTTGCCCCGAGAACGATAACTGTTTTTGTTGAGCGCAGAATTGCCGGGAGTCTCCCTCACCGCACGAATGACTAAACGCGAGTACAATAAGGCTAAAATATTTGGACTTAGACAAGTTGTCAATTATAGGTTAATGAGTGCCAGACGTTTCATTGAGTGTACCTTCGGCGTACTAGCAAACAAATGGAGAATATTACATCGCCCATTAAACACTTCTGTTCATTTCTCAGAAGACATTGTGAAATCTTGTTGCATTTTGCACAACTTTATTCGCAAAAGGGATGGTTTCAATTTTCGTCACACTTTGAAAATAGTGGGACTCGAAAATATACAAAATACAGGCTGGCCAGTAACACGAGCGTCTACTGCAAGAGATACGTTAAAAGATTATTTTATGAATGAAGGAGCAATACCGTGGCAAGAAAATAGAATATAAATATTATATGGTTTTATATTATTTTATTAAACTTACCTTCAATGTTCTTTTCTTTGGCAGTTTTATTCGAAAAATTTCCCACAAACAGTTTTTAAATCAAGAACAGACGAAAACTGGCAAGACCTCGTTTTTCTTACAATCCATTGAAGATA